CTGGACCAAATCCGCGACGCTGTCCGTGCGCACCGCATACAGCCAGAACGGTCTTCACCGCAGCTAGTCATGGACACCACGGTCGCCCGTCCCGCACCCGCACCCGCACCTGGCCTCCCCGACCGCGTACAGAGCCTCCCTAATCCTGAGCACTCCAAGGCTCCGACCTCGTCATTCAGCATTTCCTCTTTCTTGCGGCCTTTCCAAGAGACAATATCTCTCGCGCGGCCGAGCGCGTCCACTCTCTCCCCTACCCCCGAATCCGAGGGATTCACCCACATCTCACGCCGGCCCGACTCGTCTTCCTTTATCCCTACGACAAGCTCGCCCATGTCCGACTCGGAACACACCACTCCCCACCCGCGGACGCCGACGGCCCCAGAACACACGTACCCTCCGTCCCCTTCCGTTTACCGCAATGATCCTGACCACCCGTTGATTAGCGAGAGCAGCGGGAGTGCGTGGAGCGTCGGTGTCCCCTCGTGGCTGCGCGGCCCGCGGCGGGTGTTTGGCGGGGGCTCGGACGCGGCGGCGGAATCTTCTCCTGTGGTGCCCTCCGCCAGTTGCGTGCGGGAGGTGTATTCGGGCACGACGCTCCCGTTACCGGGCAGTCGGGCGAGCGGGCTTGGGGATTTGGCGTTCAGCGTGCTTCAGTCGCCCAACGTCCCCATCGACCCTGAGATGACGGAAAAGTTCCGCACTGTGTTTGCGTACGACGAGAAGGAGACGCTGCTTGGATGTAAGATACCCTGTTCATTATCTTTGGTCTATGCCGACTTGATATCACAGACTTTCCCGGATACATCTTTCGCCTGCTGCCCGTTCCTGGGCGGTTGTACATATCCACGAATTATTTTTGCTTTAAATCTACAGGGCCGCTCACTGCGAAAACCAGGGTGAGTCTTTATGTAACAGTTCCTCGTTTCTGCTAATTCATTTCTGCTTTAGATGACATTACCTATCCGAGATCTCCTCGCGATCGAAAAGACCAAGGCGACGCGGTTTGGGCATCACGGTCTCATCGTCATAGTAAAGGGGCACGAGGAGCTGTTTTTCGAGTTTGGGGCGGAGGACAAACGCGACGCGTTCGTCGCGCTTTTGGAGCGGCAAATGGACGACGTGCGCCGGCGGCTACCAATTGGTGACAATGTGACACCGGGCAAGCGTGACGCGCTCATCCTCGAGGAATTCGAGCCGAAGCCGTCCGTTGCGCCGCACGACCCGGCACCCACCGAGAACATGGCCGACTCGCTGCCCGCACTGATGTTCACGTCCGCCTCGTCGACGTTCTTGACGTTCAAGCCGAAGCGGAGCCTGCACTTTACGTTCTTGACGATCGGCTCGCGCGGGGACGTGCAGCCGTATATCGCGCTTGCGAAGGGGCTGATCGCGGACGGGCACAGGTGTCGCATCGCGACGCACTCCGAGTTCAAGGACTGGATTCAGGCGGTATGTCCTAGTTCAATTCTGAGGTCGGGCACGTTCTGATCAGTTTACAACAGCACGGGATAGAATTTGGCCACGTCGGTGGGGACCCCGCGGAGCTTATGGCCCTATGCATTGAGAACGGCACTTTCACCGTGTCGTTCTTGAAGGAGGGTCTGCAGAAGGTGTGTTTTTCGCCCTTGTAATCTAGCGGTGCTATATGAGGGTTTGTAGTTTCGCGGATGGCTTGATGATCTACTCAAGCAATCTTGGGAGGCCTGCCAGGGTTCTGATGTACTGGTCGAGAGCCCGAGCGCCATGGGGGGATACCACATCGCAGAGGCGCTTGGTATACCATATTTCAGGGCGTTCACTATGACTTGGACCCGGACGAGGTAAATGCTTTCCTTGTACATCACATCTTTCTATTTTAACAAGTCTAGGGCGTATCCCCACGCGTTCGCAGTACCAGAACGCAAGATGGGTGGAGGCTATAATTACATGACTTACGTCATGTTCGACCAAGTATTTTGGCGGGCTACGGCGGGTCAGATCAACCGGTGGAGGAGGAATGTTTTGCATCTCGGCAGCACCAGTTTGGATAAGATGGAGCCCCACAAGATACCGTTCTTGTACAACTTCAGTCCCTCGGTCGTCCCACCTCCGCTGGATTGGCCTGAGTGGATCCGGGTAACAGGTAACACGAATGCCTATCGTCCGTTGTTCGATGAGCTCACCAGGGTCACACAGGCTACTGGTTCTTGGATGACGCCGATGTCAGTGCGAAGAAATGGGCGCCTCCTCCAGAGTTAGTCAAGTTCATCGACACGGCGCATGCTGAGGGCAAGAAAGTCGTCTACATCGGCTTCGGCAGCATCCTTGTCTCTGACCCCAGGACGATGACGCGCTGCGTTATTGATGCGGTATTGCGGAGCGGCGTGCGCGCGATTTTATCTAAGGGGTGGTCAGACCGCCTCCAAGCGAAAGCGGGCGAGGCCTCTGAGCCAGAGGAGCCGTTACCCAAGGAGATCTACCCAATACCTTCGGTCCCTCATGACTGGCTATTCCAAAGGATTGATGCTGCGTGCCATCACGGTGGGGCTGGCACCACTGGGGCCAGTTTGCGTGGTATGTCGTCGCTGTTGAAGTCAGCGCGCCGATTGTTGAACTATATTAGCTGGAATCCCCACAATCATCCGGCCATTTTTTGGCGACCAATTCTTTTGGGCTGACCGTGTCGAAGCACTAGGAGTGGGGAGCGGGGTCCGAAAGCTGACTGTTGACACTTTAACGGAAGCCCTTATCTCCGCGACCACCGATATCAAACAAATAGACCGTGCTCGGTTGCTCGGAGAAGGAATCCGGGCAGTATGTTTCAAACCTTTCCCTGGACTCTGCGGGCACTAACGGTGATGGCAGGAGGACGGAGTGGCCACGGCCATAGAATCTATCTACCGGGACATGGATTATGCGCGCTCCCTGATCAAGCGTGTCGTTCCCGACTTCGATGACGATGACGAAGATGAGATAGACGGAGAGCACTCTACTATTCGTGACCGACCCAGCGAACCGTCTCAGTCCGGATATAGTTCCAGCGGATCTGCGCCGGGCGGGAGTGAGGACTGGAGTGTTATTTCTGAACAGGACGGACGGCGGTCCTCGATTAGCAGCTCTAACCATAGTGAAGGACGGTCAGCAGAAGCCTCCTCTAAACGAAACAGTCTGGCGGCGGCCGTCATGTCTGTATTACCATCACCGAGGCGACGTACTGCCTCTACCACCACGACTGAAGCACCACATACATAATTAGAGGTTCCTGTACATAGATTTCGTATATTGTAGCTCATGCCCATAGTTCATGTATTGTAATGCTCATCGAACACTTTCTTGCTAAACTGACCGAATGTGCATGAATCCGAGAGATGTTGGTCTACGTCCGGCTGCATGAACAAGGCGAAGGTTTCACGGCTTGTCTTTTCAGATCCAGGTGCAACTCCAACCCTAACGCAATGCGGCGTCGCACGTAAAGTTCCACCCGTGGCAACTTCGAGGGCTTCGCCCGTCTGGAATGCCAGACAATCCACAGGTATGGAAACTTTGGTCAGGTCGCCGCCGCGAGTGCGAATATAAAGCCCCGACGCAGGAGAAGGCGACGGTACCGTCTCGGGACCGGATTCGCCTTCACGGACAAACATGGCCTGTGGTGCACAGTAAGGCAAAGAGGAAGCTTCGAAACGGCGGCTTACAGAACAAAGGCCCGTCAAAATGCTGTGGTCCCGGTGCCAACCGCACCAATTATCCACCGGGTCATCTTCCCTGGTAACAGGGGAGTCGGGACTCGGCGGGAAGTAATGTAGGAGACGAGCTTTGATGGTATTTGAAGTGCTGATTAATTGAGGCAGCGAAATTGAGGCGTCGTTCAGATGTGAAAGGGCTGTGTACAGGTTAGAGAGAAGATGGACAGCGAGCTTGTTGACGTACCAAAGGGCTGGCATGCGACCGCCAGTTCGCATCCGACTTGGAAGATGAATCTGAAATGCTCTTATGAATATTCTGCTTGGATGCATTGTCCCAAGCTCTTACTTGCCAAGCTCTTTGAATGCATTCTCAAAGCCCTCCACTCCGGCCTCGTCAACCTTTGGCCCTGAACACATTCAAATACCAAAAGGTGAATGATCTGAATGAACATACATAGGTTCTTGTTGTAATATTCTGGATACTCCTCCCGAAGGGCAGACGAAACGTCGGGATCCTCAACCACCGGGTTGGCGTAGAAAGAGCCTTTGAGAAGGTCGCTGGGGCGAAATTAAGTTGGGGAGATACGCGGGAGCCTTTCTTACGGTTTCCCGTTCATGATCTCCTTTCCATGAGACCAACCGAAACTATAAGTACTCGATATCCTTGGGCAAATGCGAGCAATATCATTGCGCACCTGTACCGGCTATGTGAATCGGCGTATTGTTCACGGACAGGCTCTTCCAATTTCGCAAATGCATGGGACAACTTGAGAAGCCGTTCTCGATACGCGGCGTACGCAGGTGGAAGGTCTGGGAAGTTGGAATGGTTGGCCCATTATGCATTCCAAAACATTTGGACGCGAACCACGGACGACAATAATTCCCAGAGATTCAGGGCTAGATCCAAAGGCTTTCTCTGCAGTTGTTCAGGTAAGTATTTAAAGGTGCAGTAGCATCGAATGAAACCGACCGATGGATTTGTCGAGTGCGAGGGGTGACGCGACGAGATCCTGATAAGAAATCGAGACGGCCCCTTCAGCCGTGTATGTTATATCCGTCTAGTTGCACGTTCAAAACTTGAAACGGGTACGAGGCTAGCAGGGTCATTACCATGAAGAGAATTAGGAAGATAAGAGTGAACTTGAGATCGATATCGGAAAGGTCGGACCGTATTCGATCTTGGAGAAAGCACACAACTTGCCTCTCAATTCCGTGGCTACACTAAACCTCAGGAAGTCGGATATTTTGAGTAGGAACGGTGTCTTCGAACTCCTGGTTTGATACGTTCGTCTTTTGGGCAAAAAGACAATGCGCCAGAAGTGCAAAAGATCTCCGAATAGCCCCACGCGGGGGTCGAACCCGCAACCTTGAGATTGAAATCAACTCTTGATGTAAGAGTCTCACGCTCTACCGATTGAGCTAGCAAGGCGTTGAAGCGGGTCCATTTGGGCATTGTATGGAGGTGGCAGGTGCGATCCAGAAACAGAGCAGAGGGTGCACACGTGACCCATCACGCTTCCTACTCCCGACGTCCTACTCGGACTCTCGGAGCTCCCTCAGTACTGCAACGTCTCGAGGCGTTGCAGCCAAGTTGCAGTGCACTTGGCTCGTGTTCCGCACCCAGCCACTCATCGCGCTTTCTGGTCCGTATGACACTTTCTGGCCCGTGAACACCTCAAGATCGCGGACGCACGCGCCATGCGCTGGAGACGTAGAAGAGCCGCGGCGGAAGACGGGTGTACCTGACTCGGAGTCAGCCTGAGTGGGGATTCCCTGTGAGCATAACCATTTGGGAGCATGTTGCCAGCCAGTCTGGCGCCCTCCTTCCATTATTCTATTCTCCGGTCATCGTGCCACTGTGGCCCCGCTACTTTCTGCGTCCATGTCTCCCTGCTGTTCCGCTTCGTGCCGTTCGTGCGCTGTGCGTTTTTCACACCTTGTGCGCTACCCTACTTGCTTTTGATACTGTGACGGCTGGCAGGCGCTTGGGAGCTGCGTACGTGGTGCCCGTCGATGTCCTTTCTCTTGCTGCACATTGGCGACACAGTTTCTTGTTGGTGGATGGCACCATTGTTGTCTTCTGTGATGCATTCATGCTCTCCTACTCTCCTTTGTGCACATCGCGCCTCCGCGTGCGCGTTCGGATGGACACTCCCTCTGTGTCTTCGTACAAGTGCGTCAGGCGCCTCTGTACGCTGTCCGCCGGTATGCGTCATACCACCCACGCGCACCTCGCACTCGTATATGATGTCGCTCCGATGGCGCGAGACGCGCATCCTGCCGTCGTCGGCCCACTCCCAATTCTTCTCGTCCTCTGTATTTTTGCCCTCCTTTCCTTCGTGCATCATGCGGGTACCCGTTCATGATCGCGATCCATTTGCATTTCGTTTCATATGTCATTGATTTCTGAGGCTCGTAATCTGTCCGAGTCTCCTTTCTTCTTCCGAACACGCTTTCTCGTCACAGCCTCTCGATATGTTCCGTGACGCTCCTCGAGCCACGAATTTTTACGCTCAAGACGTTTCTGACCATACCTCAGCAAGATCGGACGGATGCCAGGGGGACAATGTGGGTCTTTGGAGCTCGATGTGTCGGCCAAAAGCCCTGGGGTAGTTGGGTTTCCAACTGCAAATCCCGGTCAGAATGAAATACGCAGAGTGCGTATGCCGCCAGTCTGCACATGTCAACAGAGGAGTGCTTATATCGAGTGCATATATAGGTATGCTTCCAGGGAGTAAGTATAAAGATGCGCGGGCCCAATTCTGCGCATGTATGCACGCACGGCAAGCTCACAAACTGTTGCACCATGTGTTGTGTGTGTGCGACCGATTCCGTACGCCGTGAATATGAGCCTCTTGGCATAGTACGTACCCAACATCGTATTATAACACTGTACTCATTGACTGGCATATCAATCCAGGTAGTAACTTGACTGGTATGCTGGCATGAAAGCCCGTCGAGTGGGGGGCTTTCCGTTTCCATCCGAAACCTTTGGGCCCAGACGAGCACCGAGGAGAGCTGGGATACCTCAAGTACGACCCAGAGGATGACAACAACCTGTCTGTGGATGCAGAAAACATGGACTACAGGCCGAAAAAAAGGAGTACAAAGACATAGCTGGAAGCATGGCATGCTGCAGAAGACTGGGCAGGAAGCAACCCAAACAGCTATATACGCTGAGATTTTTTTCCGTGGCTTTGCTTTCGTTACCTCAATCTATACGGACTAGATTGACGCCAAGTTCCCAACAATCGCTTTCCCCTGAGGACAGCTGAGCTCATTGTAGAATATAGCTCTCACTCTGAGGCACTATAACATCGCCTTGCTAGCTCAATCGGTAGAGCGTGTGACTTTTACAGACGCTGTAAATTCAAATCCCAAGGTTGCGGGTTCGACCCCCGCGTGAGGCTATGCGGTTAACTTTTTAGCTCTTTTATACTCTTTTATCCTCACTTCTACTCACTCACCTTACCTTCGGCACCTACCTATTCAAACATTCAAGTCTATGAATTTCTCCAGCAATTTGATTGTTTTCTTAACTCCCCTTCTCTGACAGAATATCAAGAAACCCCGTCATAACCTCCTTGAATATTGGAGAGTCCGTGAGGGGGAGGAATTGCGAATCCCACCAAACCGAACGCCGTCAGAAAAAGAGTGGCCGCCTAAGTTACAACGCTGGAGCGGTGAGTTCTGCGAGACATGCATGCTATGAGAGAAGAACCTCGCAAGGGACTATGTAGACTCCCGGACAGTAAATGCAAGGTCATGGCCCTATGGGACTTGGTAGTGGATGGAGCGAGAGACAAATTACAGTGGTATACAAAAAATACAGACAACAAATGAGGGAAAGCAATTAAACACCAACTCTAGCGGAAACATTCAGCAAGGAGAGTACGCAGAACAGCTGGCAACGAACCTATGCACTACTTTTTTCTGCCCCGAAAACCGGATTACCTCACTCTTCTCCATAACAAACAGAGTCCGTTCCAGTGCGTGACTCGAGTACCCCTGCTGGGTGACGAATTCACGCACGAGACTCTGATAGCTTGTACTCCAGCCCACAGGCAGTCTTCTCCGCAGTTCACGCTCGATTTTGACCATTTCTTCGTTTAGCTCGCCTCGAGAAAGACCGTCGGCGGAGCCAGCAGAGACCGCGTCCATCGTGGAGAACTTGAAGAGCCGGATGGCTTCTTCCACATGATGGTTTTGGACAACAGTAGAAAGGGTCATCTTTGCTAGTGACTCCGATATACGGATGATAGCTTCAAGTTGGCTGTTCTGGCCTCAGTACCAAAACAAAACTAAGAACACCGAGAAACGCACCGCACGGTGATCGGAATGGAACTCCGTTCGTCGTTATCCCGCTCTACTTGCTGGACTTGCTTGCGCAGACTGACAAAGTGACTGCTCAACATCTCCTGTGCCTCGGCAGACAACCGAGGAGCACATTTACTATGGACAAGTTAGCGATGTATTCAAGTCAGAACGATCCACCGTACCTCTTGCAGTACGCAATATACCGCTTCATGACGTCGAGGCTAAGCTCATCGATAGCCTTGTCGACATTCTCCTCTGGTCGGTTCATTTGGATGTTCATGACGTGTCTGGCGATCATCTGAGGACAGTCGTTTGAGTTGACGCATGCGTAGTGGATGTCCCACGTACCTTGTCTCGTTGTTCGTTATGCTCATCTTTCACAATAAAGATCATGTCGAATCGCGACAAGATGGTTGTCTGGAAATCAATATTCTAAAGCGGCAGTCTCAGTAGGTGATGATCCGGCGAAGGAACGAGCATACCTCGCCGGGGCTTCGGCCCTCGTCATATCGACCAAAAACTGGATTCGCGGCTGCGAGCACGCTAGTCCGGGAATTCAAAACCGTCGTGATGCCGGCTTTGGCAATAGATATAGTCTGTTGCTCCATAGCTTCATGGATGGCGACGCGATCCTCGTCCCGCATCTTGTCGAATTCATCGATGCAGACCACGCCGGTATCAGCCAAGACCATGGCGCCTCCCTCGAGGTAAAACTCGCGCTACGAATCCGTTAGCTGTAGCACGCGGTAGGCATACAAGACGTACAGATACTGTGTCCCGCTGAACAGAGGCAGTGAGACCAGCGGCACTTGACCCTTTACCAGATGTATAAACGGCGATGGGGGCAACCTGGGATCATGAGCATTCAACTCGCTTGAGAATGGGATAGATCACCTTCTCCACGAACTTGAGCAGTTGACTCTTTGCCGTTCCGGGGTCACCCAGTAGTAGAACGTTGATATCTCCTCGAAGTCTCATACCATCGGGGAGAATCTTCTTGGATCCCCCGAAGAGGAGACAAGTAATCGCCTTTTTTATGTCTCGAAAGCACGTCAGGATTCAGTCGATGATAGGAAATTGGCAAGAGCTCACCCAAACTGCCGTAGATACTTGGGCCGACACTCTTGGCGAATCGTTCGTAGAAGCCTTCGCTTCGAGCCATCGCTCCAAATTCTTCCTCCTCTTCAGGTGTGAATTGGACGCCGAAAGGGTTGGAACCAGAACTGCCAGTGGGACCCGAAGATAGCTCGAGGTGGACGACACGCAGATAAGGTTGTCGAAGAGCTGCGGCGCCCGCATTTTTCTGTGTAATGTTAATACCGAGGTGAAAGATCTGAGGTCGGAACACGTACGTTCTTGGCCGACTGGAACGTCGAATAGATGCCAGTCGCAACGACTCTCGACCCGGGGACTACTTTTCCTGTTAGATTCCTGTCGACCGACAAGAGCATATGCCTCGGCAACTCTCCAACCGGCACCATGTCCGGCGCCTCTTGAAGTTTGAGAGTTTGTTGGTCGGCAAAGGTGGATTTGGAGTGGACGATGAGGTAGGGATCGAGTGGGCAATCGTCGTTTTTCTTTTGCCCTCCGGCTGGGGCAGCGCAGACACGCGGCAACCCGCGGTCAGAGCCCCCGCCTACTCCGCCCATACCACCGGACGGATTTATGTCCTGGGTGTTTCCACAGGAACGGCACTGCAAGTGCAACTTGGTCGCTCGCGAAGACAAAACTGAAGCCGAGATGACGATCCCTGGGATGCGAACGAGTTTGTTCATGGTGTTGGCAGCGAGATCTCGGAATTGCAGCATGTTGAGGCCGGAACGAAGGTGTATCTGGATTCCGGGTATGGCCTCCGCAGCGTCTTCCGCGTTCTTTTTCTTGTCCTCGTCCGTCCGACCCACGCCGACAAGTGGGAAGAGGATTGAACGCGCTGCCTTGGTGGCTGCATTTTCAAACTACGCGACAAAGTTGAGCATGGAGAGCTGGTTCGTGCAAGTTCACGTACACGGGGGAGTGTAACAGTGGGAGTGTCCTGAATCGCGTGGGCCAACTCGTCGTTGTACAGGCTTAAGTGTCGCAGATCGACTTCAAGCGTACGTTGCTTCAATAGCAGATTCGCTCTCAGTTTATCTCTACGCGTTCCGGTAAAAATCTGAGGGCGATAGAGTCGCGTTTGCTCTCACCTGTATATAAACTCGCCTCCCAGGCGATACTGCAGAAGAAAGTCGAGAAGCAGTTTCTCTGTCTCGGACGGTGAATCTGGAGATACCGCAGCAGGAGCATCATGGGCAGAGACGGTGAACACCTCGGGGGTGTTGAAGTGGGCCATTTCGCGTCGTGGTGGGAGGTGAGTCGCGTTCAGTCACATCAGTGACTTTCTGTCATACTTCACAGCCACATAATTGCCTTGCGTCCTTTCAGTCCACGACAATGAGTGCAATGGATACCGACGAGCTCCCGGTCGTTCTCTCCTCGTCAACAACGTCCGGCTTATCTCTTTCCTTGTCCGTACTCCCTATTCTACCCGAGCAACGCCTCTGACCGCCTGTCTGTTTGTAGACACCCTCTCCCCATCTTGAACATCTCTGAACACTTGACGAGATTAAAATTGCAGACCAACTCCAACTCTCCTTTCGGTCTGTTCACGGAAGCACTACCTCAAGCCATTTATTGATGAATTTTCCAGTCCTGGGGGCTCTCTTAGGCACGCAAAATGGACGGGAGGTAGAGATTGTGAACACATTTGAACTTGCGGTCGAAGAGGGCGGTGAACTGGTGGACCATGGGTTCCTGGTCTCCAGACGCGATCAGTGTGAGTTTCCATGTCATTAAACCTTCTTCCGATGTCGATCCTTTGCAGACAAACAGGTGTTTCCCTCGCTTGAGTTTATCGGCTGGTACACCGTGGCCGCGAGCCCGACCCCGCGCCACATCGCGTTGCATGAACAAGTACGCCTGTGTTGGTTGCAATGTACACACAGCGGCTGACTTTCGCGTGAATAGTTTACGGGGTACTGCTCGACGCCACTGCTGCTCATCCTGCAGCCCTCGATCGCTCTCGTTGCAAGCTCGGATGTTAACGCCCAGAACCTGCCCCTCAAGGCGTTTGAGCCTACAATAGAACTGAGAGATCGGAAATCTCGATCAGTGTACATCGAGGTCCCCTACAATGTCGAAACAGGCGAGGCTGAACGTATCGCTGTGGATTGGACGGCAAGAGGTGGAGGAAGCGGAACCAGCTGTATGCATACCCAAATGCTCCATTCACATCCGCTAACATACGAGCAGTGGAGTCGCATCTCCAAACCCAACGCGCGGCTGTGAAGATGTTGCACGAACGAATAATGGTTCTTGTTAAATATGTGACTGATGTTGTCGCGGGTAGGCCTTTCTCCCCGCCGAGTCATCTGCGCTCAGACTGATCCTCCTTACAGGGCAAGCACCGAAAGACCATGCCACACTCCGTTCGCTGTCTGCTTTGATCGCATCCCTGCCTGCCACGGAGAACAGCGCGTTCCGCGAAGAATTCGAGACGGTCCGCATTACTCCAAGTACTCTTGCTACTTTGCTGATATGATGCCTAGGAGTACGAAGACGTCCAGCTCACCGCATTCCTGTCATCCTTGACGAAATCTGCGAACATATTGAACGACGTATGTTCCTCTTCGTTCGCTCACACGACCTGCGTTTAATCGTCTCTGTATTAGCTCGTGGACAGACACCTGGTGGTAACGAGCGGTAACGGAGAACGCAGCGGGCCCAGTGGGCCAAGGAGGCGGGGCATGGGCATGGGCATGAACCGACAGAGTGATTGGGATCGCCATTAAACTTCCGTTTGTGTTTTTTGCACCTTCCAGTCCAATAAGCAATTCCAATGTGCGCGTGCCTTCTGATGTACATTGCGTAGATGCAAATAAATTATGTATTTGACGATAAGGTTGGTCTATGTTGAGTGCACTGGCCAGGACTAACCCTTCACGTTTTGTGAGGACGAGGATCGTCGGAGGCCTGTAGCACCCTTGATCTTCTTCCACAGCCCGGAGGAAGATCGAGAGGATGGTATGCTGGACGACACGGGTCCAACGCCTGAGGA